TGATCAGTTAAAACAGACTGGGGGGATAAGAAGTGGCAAGTATGCTGGACATCTGGGATACATGCATCCCTGAGAGTAAGAGAAAACCCTTCGAAGGTTAAGGGACCTACCACATCAATGGAGATTTTCAGGGCCCATTGGTCTGAGGTAGGTTTAAAATACAGGACAAACTATTGCATCTTATATTCCTACCATGAAGAAGGAAGCGCAATGCCTCATAGACCTCTTTGAGTTCTGGAGGTAGCATATTCCAAACTTAGGAATACTGCTCTGACATATTTGCTGAGTGACACAGAAGGCTGCCAGATTTGACAGGAGCTTAGAATAGGTCCAAGCAGCCCTACCAATTGGGTCATACAACCAGCAGATTCTGGCATTAAAGATATATGCGGTGATGGGGGAGGGCGCCTGGGTGGCTCAGTTGGTTGAGCATCTGATTTCGGCTGAGGTCATGATCTCACCGTTCACGAGTTCCAGCCCCGCATCAGGCTCTCTGCTGACAGCACAGAGCCTGCTTGGAATCCCACGCCGCCTCTTTCCCCTCCCCCTACTTGTGCTTCTCTCTCTCTCTCAAAAATAAACATTAAAAAGATATATATGTATGCAGTGGGAAACAGGATCATATATGCTTAAAAAAAGATCACATGTCAAAAACTGGATAAAAGGAACATACGGTATTCTGACAGTTATTAGCCTCTTCATATCTCTTTACATAGTTCAGGTAAATGTTGTAGTATCTCAGAGAATAGCTATTTAGCCTTTTGTATTTAGATAGTTGCTTCTAGCCTGATCGTTCTTAGTAGTTTACTACTGGGTGATACAATTTTGAGTTTTGCCAAATTTCTTTTTTTTTTTTTTTTCAACGTTTATTTATTTGTGGGACAGAGAGTGACAGAGCATGAACGGGGGAGGGGCAGAGAGAGAGGGAGACACAGAATCGGAAACAGGCTCCAGGCTCTGAGCCATCAGTCCAGAGCCCGACGCAGGGCTCGAACTCACGGACCGCGAGATCGTGACCTGGCTGAAGTCGGACGCTTAACCGACTGCGCCACCCAGGCGCCCCGAGTTTTGCCAAATTTCTAATTAAAGGGGCTGTAGTGCCACTATGTTCTTGGGAACCGATCTAGTTGTCTGCCACAAATAAAAAGCATTTAGTATCTCTAGTCTCTGAAGCTTAAAGAAAGGAACTCAGTCTTTGTTTAATCACAGCTATGAACAGAAACCAGTTATTTTTTTTCTTGCTGTAAAATACAACTTTTATATACTGGCCTGATCAATTTCTTGGTAGATACATTACACAGCAGTACCTTGTGTGCCTTATTTGTGCTCAATCTGTGTATGTTTACCAACTGTTTAATTATATATGTGCTACACTTGCAAGATAAGACTCTAAAATTTTGGTGATCAGTATGGGTAGGAACCACCGGTGTTACAGCAATGTTATTTTAATGAGGAAGAATATTAAAAGTGAAGAAAATGGGCTTTTGGCAACCCAGTATTAACCATATTTTATTATAGAATTGAGTTTAAATTCTCTACAATAGTGATGCTTAATATTTTAATGTATCTCAACACTATACAAACAATAGAGAAAAAAAGATATATGCAGTGGGAAAGACACCATGTGAAGCAAACCACAAGAAGAGGAATCGCAACATAGTCCTATGGGGTTCTCTAGCAAGGCCATGCTGTCTGCTGATAATTATACATCATATTGAATAGCATAATTATACACCTTAATAATACTGGATTCACCTGGCAATGGGTATTGAGTTACCATGTGACTAGAACTTCCCATTATGAACTTGGTTTTGTTAGACCTACCGAGTCATAAGGGCAACTTGGTCCAACAGTAGCCCATCACAAGATGGAAGTAGCACATTAAAGATCAGGCATAAGAAGCACTACAGGTCACAGATAAACAGTATAAGCAGGAGGTTCAGGTTCCCATGTCATCAAAAACTGTTCCACTAGTTTCTCTCCCTCAGCTTGCAACTATGGTTGTGTGGGCATTCCCATGTTGCTTGGGGAGGAAAAAGGTTAAATTTGGTTTATTGAAGGTTTGGCTCAAGATGTGGCTGGAAGCCAAAATTATATGGCTACTTACTTTAGCTCTGGAAAGATAACAAAAAGACAAAATCCTCCCCGTAGTCAGAACTCTGGACTGGTTCATTCATTTCACATGTATAGAGAGGTGGCCCAAGGTAAGAATGTATTCAGATTCATGGCCAAATGGTTTGGTTGGTAGGTAAGGAGCTGGAGGAGAAGGCATGGAAGACTGAAGACAAAGAAATCTGAGAAAGAGGCATATGGATGAACCTATGGGAATAGATACAAGATATGAAGATCTTTGTATCACAGTTAATTCTTACAGAGGGTATCTACCAACAACCAAGGTGACAAAATGATTCAGCCAATTGATGTCAGCCAGCCTCTTCCATTGGCCACCTAAGTACTGCCACAATTGGTGCATAAATGTAGTGGCAGCTATAAAGAGGCCCAAACAGTAGAAGTTCTTACTGCTGCTGCTGAATGTCCAACTTGCTGGTAACAGCAGAGAACAACACTGAGACCTCAATATGGCACCATCCTTCAATGAGACCGTATAGTAACATAGTGGCAAGTTGAAGACATTGAATCCCTCCCATTTAGGTAAGAGAACAATTAATCTTGATTGGAACTGAGACTTATTCTGAGTATCAGTCTGTCTTTCCTGCTCATATGGTTTAACCAGCACCACTACCCAAGGGCTAACAGAATATTTGATAACCAACAAGGAATCCTGGTCATCATTACATTGGAGCAAGGAATACACTTGATAGCACAGTAGTTGGAGCAGTGGACACATGACAATGTGCATCAGTAATCCCATCAAAAATCATATAAGCACAGCAATCAGAACCTGCCAAACTGATGAGAATGATAGAAAAAGCTTTAGAAGACTTTTGAAGCTACAAGGATGGGGCGCCAGAATACACTCTAGATCAATGACCATTACATGGTCCCATGTCTCTAGCAGACAGAAGATCAAGGGTGGAGAAAGAGTAGCACATTTACCATCATTCACAGTGACCTGTTTGGGAAATTTTTGCTTCTAATCTCTCAGTGGTGTTACAAAATGGAAGGAGAGAGGAATGTGGTTGGCACATTCCAAGTGATCCACTGGGGGATCTGTATGTAACAGATATGTAATAAGGAAATCTCTTATTCAATTTTGATGGCTCAATTTAAGTAGACAAGTGTAGTACCATGGCTGAGCGTGGCATTCTATGTTCAGTAGAGGACAAATGATGACCTGGGCTCAAGCACCTCAGGATGATGATTTGGGTCACCTGCCAGGTAAGTGACAGAGACCAGTACAGGTACTAGTTGAGGGTGAGAGAAGTGTAGAACAGATAGTGTGTGGATAGTAGGTGAGAGCGATGATCAGTTGAGGGTGCAAGACCAGCTGCGGAGGTAAGGGGCTATAGTTCATTCCACTAATGTTCCTTTCATAAATTTCCCCAAGAAAAGAAACCAGCCAGAATCCTGGAGGAGTTTTTTCCCAGATGGAGTGAAATTATATGAAGCAATAGAGCCAAAGATCCAAATGGCACAAGGGGTGGTGATCTGTAGCCAATATCCCTCTTTCAGGACTGAGGCACTCATTCCCCTGCCTGCCTTGGGTGTTGTCTGTTGAGGGATCACAACTAAGACCCTCCTTAAGAATTGCCCTCATATAGGGGCGCCTGGGTGGCTCAATTGGTTAAATGTTCTAATTCTGCTCTGGTCATGATCTCACAGTTTGTTAGTTTGAGCTCCACGTTGGGCTCTATGCTGACAGCTCAGAGCCTGGAGCCTTCTTCAGATTCTGTGTCTTCCTCCCCTCTTTTCTGCGCCTCCTTTGCTTGTGCGCGTGCTCTCTCTCTCTCTCAAAAATAAATAAACATTAAAAAAGAAGAGAGAGAGAATTGCCCTCAGACAAAAGGAACTATATAGCAGGGTGCCTAGTGGCTCAGTTGGTTAAGTGTCCGACTTTGGCTCGCTCTTGATCTCACGGTTTGTGGGTTTGAGCCCACACAGGGCTCTCTGCTGTCAATGTAGAGCCTGCTTTGGATCCTCTGTTTCCCTCTCTCTCTGCCCCTCACCTGCATTGTCTTTCACTCTCTCTCAAAAATAAATAAACATTAACAACAACACCAAAAAGGAACTACGTAGCCCAATTACACTACCTCCCTGGGGGCAGTACACATCCAATGACTACTTCATTACTTCATCAGAATCATATTAATTATTGCCAGCAATATTTTAAGTAATATGTTGTCAGTGAAAGAAAAAATAAAACTTGAGATGAGCTGAAATGGAGTGGAACTATTAGAAGACTGTTAGTAAGACCAGAGGAAATAATGACGATGTGGCCAGTGTGGGCCACTGATGTTCAGAGGTTTAGCTGAGCAGAAAGCAATGGAGAAAAGGGAGATTTGAGGCCCAGACTTGGACACTGAGCAGTAATAATAAATCTGGGTTTCAGTTTTCTCATCTAGAAGATGAGGAAGGTGGGGCGCCTGGGTGGTTCAGTTGGTTAAGCTTCTGACTTCACAGCTCAGGCATGATCTCATGGTTCATGAGTTCAAGCCCTGCATCAGGCTCTGGGCTATTAGCATGGAGCCCGCTTCAGATCTCTCTCTCTCTCTCTCTCTCTGCTACTCCTTTGCTTGCTCTCTCTCTCTCAAAAATAAATTTAAAAATTTATTTCTCTCAAAAATTTAATCTCTCAAAAATTTTAAAAAAATTTTTAAATAAAAGATGAGGGAGGTTAGATTTTTTTTTATTTATATATGAAATTTATTGTCAAATTGGTTTCCATACAACACCCAGTGCTCATCCCAAAAGGTGCCCTCCTCAATACCCATCACCCACCCTCTCCTCCCTCCCACCCCCCATCAACCCTCAGTTTGCTCTCAGTTCTCAACAGTCTCTTATGCTTTGGCTCTCTGAGGGAGGTTAGATTAAATGATCACCATGTGTCTTCCTGCTCCTGTATTCTGTAATTCTAAACTTCTCTGCCTGACATACAAACAAACAGCACTGGGGGACAATACTTTAAACCTATAACTAGCTTACTAATAGAAGATTAATCTTTAATACAAATAACAAATGGTTATCGAAAACCTAGAGATTCCTACACCATGAAGTAATTCTTATGTGTACATTCCAATTGACAATAACTTCTATAAATTCCAATTGACAATAACTCCTATAAATAAGCACAACAAAAATATTGTTTTTATTAAAAAATAATATGGCATTAAGAATACTCTCACCAAGGGAGTATAATGTACAGTAGAAATTAATGTAGTATCTAGGGCATTAAATACAACAGTCATTCCTTTCCTTAAACAAATGAAAACCACTTAGACATAGTCTATTCAGTTCTTTCATGAAAAGCATTTATGTTCTCTGATCCACACCCTCCTTCTATGTCTCTCCTTGTGCTGTGAATGTTGGATTGAAAACTTTACCACACATTGCTATACTGTTCTCGAGATGAAGGCAGAGTAATATGCAAGAATTATGTTCTGCATTTACATAGTCATCTTAAAGTTCATAAGGAAAATTTTTAAAAAAGCAAGGAAAGTCCTAGGGAAAAAGGAGCATTAAGGTAACTAGCTCTACCAGATATTAAAACATAATATAAAGCTTCTAAAATTAAAATATTCTGGTATTAGAAGGTGAATTGATAAATCAGTGGAATAGGATAAAACTCCAGAAATAGACTCAAATATATATGGAAATTTAATGTACAATAAAGACATCTTGAATCACAGGAGGAAAACGATAGTTATTTTAATAAATGGTACTTATTACGGGTTGTGTTCCCCCAAAAGATATGTTGAAGTCCTGAACCTTAGTACTTCAGAATTATTTGGAAATAGGGTCACTGCAGATGGAATTAGTTAAGGTGAGGTCATACTAGAGCAGGCTGAGCCCCTAATCCAATATGACTGACACCCTAAGAATAGGAAATTTGGACACAGAAACAGACATGCACAAAGGAAGGATGATGCAGAGACACATCAGGAAAATGCCATCTAAAGGCAGAGTAAGAGACTGGAGTGATGCATTTACAAGCCAAGGAACTACCACCAGCTGGAAGAGGCCAGGAAAAATCCTCCCTGGGAGGCTTTGGAGGGAACATGGCTCTGTTGACACCTTCATTTTGGACTTCTAGTCTTCAGAACTATGAGAAAATAAGTTTCTGTTGTTTAAAACTACTCAGTTTGTGGCAATTTGTTTTGGCAGCTCTAACAAACTAATCCAGGGTCAGATAACTGGAAAACCATTTGGCAAAAGATAACATTCAATCCATACCGCACACCATGTAACAGAATAAATTCCAAATGCATCAGAGAAGTAACAGTGAAAAATGAAACTATACAAGTGGTAAGGGAAAAATGAGTGAATTCCTTTCTAACTGTGTATCTAATAGCATAAAGAAAAAGATTCATATATTCAACTATATGAACAGAAAACTCTTTTACTTAAGGAAAGAGGTACCACTAGCAAAATCAAAAGAAAAATTGGAGAAAAGATCTGTAATTTACATCACAGACAATTGGCTAGTCTCTCCTATGTAAAGATCTTTTTAAAATAGAAAAGAGAAATACCAAAAATCTGATAGACAAAGGACATGAACAGATAGTTTGCAGAAAAAGGAAGGCAAATGGCCTTTAAATCAATGGAAAAGATGCCCACTCATTCATAATCAAAGAAACTTAAAATTACACTGAAATTCTATCTCTCATTTATCAGACTGGAATAATCCTGAGGTTTGAAAATATATGCTCTTGGTGTGATCCTAGAAAAGACTCTGCCCAAGCACACACACGTGCACACACACACACATAATCACACACAAAATACAACCCCATGTGTTCGTTCATTGTGGGATTATTTATAACATCAAAAGATTGGAAAGAACTTTCGTCAATAGAGGAATTCTCAAACTAATGGGACATGGCCATAATATAGTACTATTCAGTGGTTAACAGGAACAAGGACAATTTCTATGCACTGACACTGGACAAAAAAGTGTACAAATTATGCTCTATTTGTGTAATCGGAGAGGAATAATTTTCAACAATAAATATCCATTTGCTTATATTTACTAAAATATATTTTTTAAAAAAGGAGAAGCCAGAAATTAAATAAAAGAAAATGAAAATGGGCTCAATTGTTAAGGGACAGGAAAAGAAGCAAGAGTTTCCAAAAACACCTTTTCATATAGTCTTGACTTTTAAACTATATAAATGTTTTATATACTCCAAAATTATATGTAAATCTTATTTAAAGGCAAATCTTGGAACTAAAAGCAAATAGAAGTAAATAAATCTGTATATCAAAGTATATATATTATATAACTATATATATATAATTATATATAGAATTTCAAGGATTATTTCAAGAAGCTTTAGAATTTAGTACTTTTAGTGGATGTCTTTGGTGAGACATAGTCTAAGGACAAAAGAACTGCAAAATATCTTAAACTTAGGGGCACATGGGTGGCTCAGTCAGTTGGGCAACTGGCTCTTGATTTGGGCTCAGGTCATGATCTCATGGTTCATGAGCCAAGTGTGGAGACTGCTTGGGATTCTCTCTCCCCCTTTCTCTGTCCTTGCCCCTCTTGCGTTCTCTCTCTCAAAATATATACATAGATATTAAAAAAAAATCTTATAAGCCTCCAACTCTTGATTTTGGCTCAGGTCATGACTTCACATTTCATGAGTTTGAGCACCACATTGGGCTCTGTGCTGAGAGTACGGAGCCTACTTGGGATTCTCTTTCTCACTCTCTTTTTCTCTCTCAAAAATAAATAAACATTAAAAAAAATATTAAACTTAATTCAGTAGTTTCTTCTAAGTAATAATATTGGTATTGCTCTCTTGAAATTTTTGAATATTGGAAAATAAAGTTAATAAATACTATCCTAAATATTAAAAATAAATAATACGTTAATAATATTAGGAACCTGGGGCGCCTGGGTGGCGCAGTCGGTTAAGCGTCCGACTTCAGCCAGGTCACGATCTCGCGGTCCGTGAGTTCGAGCCCCGCGTTGGGCTCTGGGCTGATGGCTCAGAGCCTGGAGCCTGTTTCCGATTCTGTGTCTCCCTCTCTCTCTGCCCCTCCCCCGTTCATGCTCTGTCTCTCTCTGTCCCAAAAATAAATAAACGTTGAAAAAAAAATTTAAAAAAAAATAATATTAGGAACCAAGATATTAAGTGTAAGTGAAAGAAGACAGAAGTTAGGTAAAATCCCTATAATAGTTATATTTGATTTAGAAATAGCAACTGATCTCATGTTTTTTATAGTTTTATTTTTTAAATGATTCAAAAACTGTGATAACTTAGGAAACTTTATTTCAAATATTTAGTTATCTTATAGAACTTATGTCCTATAATTACATTGTTTTATATAACATTTACTTTTTCTCCTCATTAATCAGCACTGAAGCAATTTTGACTACATATAATCTATGCTATGAATTGTATTCTAAAATCACCAATAATAGTAAAAACAACACTGTTTTTACTTTAAAACATGTACTTCCTGATTTCTAAAACTTGTATTTTTTAGCAATGCTTACTGAAAAGGTCTAGAAGCAGTGATACTCCAGTTATAGTTAGCATTCCTAACCCTTCAGATTTTGGTTTTAATATGCCCATTTTCATGGAAAGATACCAGTGTCTTGTGGAGAATAGCTGCTTCCAGGTCTGGAGTAGGAAAAATGCATATGAATCTGGGACAGCTTGTTAGTCCTGCAAGGAAGAAAGCATTCAAACACTATGGCATCATGTCCAGAGAGTACAGAAATGATCGTGAAGGGTACCCAAGGGCCATATTTGGGACAATTTGAGAATCGAAAAACAAATTTAAAAAAACCCTAAATTGACATAAAAAAGAACACAGGAGGCTTCTGGCTCTGGTGACAATACAACAGCTAGTATTGTACTTCATCACCAGCTGCAAACAACTACAGTACCTGGATCCACCTCCTTCAGGTCACTTCACGGCAGCTACCCTGTAGACTCAGAACCATGCTGCATACCATCCTCTTCACCAAATTGCTCAACTAAGACCAAGTCCTCACTGGACTGCTCAGGGTTCCAGACCTCATCCATTCCAAAATATGCCTGGTGCTATCTGCCCAGCTGTTCCTAGACTACCATTTAATATTGAGCCTAGCTCCTTTATAGGTTCCACAAGTCATGTCAATGGTGTGTTGGTAACAGCACAGACAGTGGGCCCAACAACCTCAGCAGCTGCTGCTCTAGCTATTCCTGCTGTCAGTACTCTTCCACAGTACAAATATGCTGGGGAGTTTGCTATCCTCAACATCTTAATGTAAAGCCACAAGTTACTATGTAGCAGCCTGCTGTTAATGTACAAGGTCAGGAGCCTTTGACTACTTCCATGCTGGCATCTGCACCACCTCAAGTGCAAAAGCAAATTGGGATGAATGGCTGATTCCTTTATTCAAGCCATGCACCCTACTGTTGCTGATAAAAATCACTGATGTGTTGTTGGAGACTGATAACCTCTTCATAGCCTTGAATCTCCAGAGTCTCTCTGTTCTAAGGTTGGTAAAGTGTTGCTGTACCACAAGCCTACCAAGCTAAAAAGGCTGCCCAGGAAGCAATTAACAATGTCATTATAGTCCCAACTCTTTAAAATTGATCAGGGACCATGAAGAGAAACTCATGTTTCACCAAAGAAAATTATCTAAGCACCAAAAAGCTTAACTATCATGGGGAAATAACTGCTAAATGTAAAATAAATGCAAAAGAGGAAAAGAAACTATGAGCCTTATGTACTGATCAAATGCCAGGTGTAGCAAACATAATGCTGGTTCTAGATTACTTCCTGATTCAAACACACACACACACACACACACACACACACACACACGCAATCTAAAAACTGGTGTTTTATAGATCCTGGGAAAAACAGTTTTCAGCAAAGTACAAAAATTTAAAGCATTTCTTTAATTTTATAATTCTTTACTTTGGAATAGCTCAGAATGTCATTTCAGTTTTAAATAAGAGAAATAATATCTGAACAAGGAAATGTACTTTGGATTACAAAACTCTTCCTTTAATAAAAATTTCTTAAACAGTAAAAAATATTAATAAGTAAACAAGGACATACTTGATAAGTTTATAAGGAACAATATTCTTGTATTTACTTGTTTAAATACTATAAACACTAGGATATTGTACACATGGTTAACTGGTTGTAATTTTATTTTTTATTTGAGAGAGAGAGAGAGCATGTGCCAGGAGAGGGAAGAGGAAGAGAGAGAATCTTTTTTATTTTTATTTTTTTTACATTTGTTTATTTTTGAGAGACAGAGAGAGACAGAGTATGAGCAGAGGGGCAGAGAGAGAGGGAGACACAGAATCAAAAGTAGGCTCCAGGGTCCAAGCTGTCAGCACAGAGCCTGACATGGGCCTCAAACCCATGAACTGTGACATCAGGACCTGAACCAAAGTCGGACGCTCAACTGACTGAGCCACCCAGGTGCCCCTTGGAAGAGAGAGAATTTTAAGCAGGCTGCACTCTCAGTATGGAGCCCGATGTGGGGCTTGATCTCTTGACCCTGGGATCATGACCTGAGCTGAAATCAAGAGTTGGTTGCTCAACCAACTGAATCACCCAGGTGCTCCCAGTTGTAATTTTAAAATGACATTAATGAAGTTAGTTTTTACACACAGAAACTTTTAAATTCAAATTAAGTCTGAATGCCTGCAATACTACCTTAAAATGTAGAATGTTTTGGTCTAATGGACATATAAATATTAAATTTAATACTTAAGGAAAAAAATCTATAAATCACAAAAATGATAGTTTTCTTAATTAAAAAAACCCCATAGTTCGTCATTCTGAAAATGATTTATTGTACCTTTCTCTTTTATTAAGATCAACTTCCTATTTTAAAATCTAATTATCTTATAAATGTAAAATACTATCTTGTGAATATAAATATATTTTCATTTACTTACTGGTAAAATGATATGTCCTTATGATTTAAACATTAGTGATAACATTGCAGAAGTTTAGAATTTTAAATTTTTAGAATTTTAGTATTGGAATTTAGTTGAAAATGAGGCACAAAGTCTATGCTGAGTTGTAAAAATGTACAAGAAAATGCTACTAGAATAGTAGTTATTTTATCTCCTCCCAGAGTTATCTAGGTGTGTTTGAAATTTTGACAGTTTTAGTGTTCCATTTTGTGAAAGGTCCCAGTTTTTATTTTTTTTTTTTAAGTAATTGCTACACTTCACGTTGGGCTGTACCTCATGTCCCTGAGATCAAGAGTTACATATTCCTCTTCCTTTCCGCACCCCAAAGGTCCCAGTCTTACTAGGAATAAATGCATAGTTTTGGTTGCCTTATAGTTGCTTCACTTTGCAAATTTATGTGTAAATTTCACATTCTGTGCTATTTTAATACCTTACTTATTATATAGAAGAGGGAAGAGAGAAACCAAGTAATGACTAGTTCCTGCATTTGGTTTTTGCCACAGAAGTCTGAATGATTTCTAAGAAGGCTCCACTAAGGCTATTTGAGAAGATTTTACATGACCCTTCCAACTTTAAAATAAAGAAACTTGAAATAAACTGAAACTGCATTTTGCTTGTGATGGGTTCTATATAAGCATAGCTGACTTCATCAGACAGAATTGAAAGGAGATTCTGTATTACTAAGGAAAAGAAAATCTCACATGGACAAGTCTATCAGTCTTTCATTTCTGTAGGCTGACTTTAATCCTTATTTTATTCTAGTTGAAAAATCATGGTTTATCTCCATTTGTGATTTAATTTTATACCTGTAAATAAATACTACAATATTTCATTTAAAAACTATTAAGAGGTGCCTGGGTGGCTCAGTCGGTTAGGCGTCCGACTCCCGCTCAGGTCATGATCTCACAGTTTGTGGCTTGAGCCCCGCGTCGGGCTCTGTGCTGACAGCTTGGAGCCTGGAGCCTGCTTCGAATTCTGTGTCTTCCTCTCTCTCTGCTCCTCCCCCACTCATGCTCTGTCTCTCTTTCTCCTTCAAAAATAAACAAAAACATTACAAAAATTTAAAACCAATTAAACTTGCAGGGCGCTTGGGTGGCTCAGTTAGTTAAGTGCCTGACTCTTGATTTCAGCTCAGGTCAGGATCTCACAGTTTGTGGGTTGCATGGGGCTCTGCCCTGACAGTGAAGAGGCTGCTTGAGATTCTCTCTCTTCTCTCTCTGCACCTCCTCTCTCAAAATAAATAAACTTAAAAAAAGAAAAAAGATTAAAAAAAAAACAACTATTAAACTTGTCATTTTAAGGATACTGCAGAAGTAATATAAATTTAATTTTTTTTTTTTTACTTAATATATCACTTATTCAGATAGTCACTAAAAACAGAATATAGAATACATATTGTTGTCCCACTTAAAGTTGGTAGATTTATTCCTGGCATTTTCCTTTCCTGGTGATCTTTTTAGTGAATGAATTACTAAACTGACGATAAGTTCTACTTCTGTTTGGAAGCTTAGATTCTTACCTTTCTGTCATTAGGTTCATTTAATTTTTTATTGTATTTAGTTTGTAATATAACAGCAGATTCAGCCTGATGGATTGCTTTAAATTTTCCTAGAGTATTTACAGATTTATTTTGTTCTTGAAATATATAAATACTAAGAGGTCATTCTATTTACATTGCTTTTATTAAATTAATCTTGGAATAAAAAATCATAGGAAAGCTCTGTAATGAAATTACACATTTATTAAATCCTTGGTTCTATGTACAATCTCCATACACTTGTATGTTTTAACTTTTCTCTCATGTAAGATAATTTATTAAAAGAAGCAGGCAGGTGATGGCAAATAAACTTTTTAATGAAGATCTAATTTTGTCAATTTCACATTGATTTTGCTTGGATCATGGCGTGCAAGTACTTTGGGACCCAGTATGCCAATAATTAGAGCTCCATTTGGAGCTGTGATCAAGATGGCTAAAAATGCTATTGTCATCACATCCCTTGAATATGGTTCCAAGTGGGGTGCGCTGATGCTTGCTGTTTCTAGAGCCAGGGGACCTAATACAGCCTGCATTTAGAGGGCAAAAAGATGAGGCATAAAGAAAAATGTTAAAATAGTTATTATATGATAAAAGTTAATGGTTCTGTTAAAACAAACAAAACCTAGTGGTAGGCTATCAGAAAAGAGATGAGCCTTAAAGTGCTGAGGAATTTTCATGAATTACTCATCAATTTTATGTTCTCCCTAGTAAATATATCTGGACGAAAAGTGAAATAGTGACAAATCAGCGTGCAGACATTTGGGGGCTGGTTTCGTATTCTTATTATCTCAGCTTTCCCATTTAAGTATCTTTTTTGAGTGCTCACATTACTCGCAGAACCTCAGGAGTTTTAAACGAAGCAGGGTTTTGCTTATTTGCCTTTATCATGGATGATTAGTTTCTTGGCTGTAACAAGACAACACAAAAAACTAAAGTTTCTTATGGTTCTCTAGGATTTTGTTGCTTGTCTTCTCCTTGTTCTTCCTACTTGGGAGGCAGTGTGTATTGTAAAACTGACAAGAGGTGTGGAATCTACAAAGTGGGCACTGAGAGATTAGGAAGTAAGTTGCCTAATGTTATAGGCAAGTAACATGGTATTCAAAACAGCCAGTCTTGCCCCATGGACCTGCTTTTTTAATCATGACACAGAAAATTTTGTTGTATGAAAATTCACAACCTTCTGTGGTGGAGTAACAATGGAAAAAAGAATCTCTGGAAATCAAGACATTATGCTGTCACGTTAAAAAGTCTAACAATAAGTAGCAACATCTTTGAGTAGGAACAGAATATCATTAAATCAGAGGGCAAAACTACAAGGTCTCCCTTTTCATTCATTCATTCACTCTTTTATTCATTCACTCACTCATCATTCATTCTTGTAGATAAGTAATGCTTACGGTATACCTCCTGCATGCCAGGCACTGTGTTAAGGGCTGGGGAAAATATAATGGAAGGAAACCAGACACTATTCCTTGTCTTTCCCAGATAGTCTGGTGGGGAGATTTAGTCATTAATTAAAACCATACAAATTAAATGCATAATTAAAAATAATATATGTGCATCCATGTATGGTGGAGTGGGTGGCAGGGGTAGGAAA